AGACATGAAGTGATTTGCGCATGTGGCAAATGCTTAGCAAATGTCGACAGGTTTTTTGCCTTTGTGATTTCAATATGCTATGGTTCCTTCCCACATTCCATATCAAGTATTTGCATATAATATGTTAGAGGCAGAAATTTAAAATCATATATTTAAGAAATGACACCATTTTCAAACTCACCAAATACATTTAGAATTTGAGCGCTGTGGAATGTAATCGTACATTTTTCAACTCCAAACCATCACATTTTTAAAATATCCAGTAGCAGAATGAAGGTGTAATTATGGTGAATGACTTCAGTAGGGAAGTAGAATGTAGGCATAATTACACCTTCATCTGCTACTGGATATTTTATACATGTCATAGTTTGAAATTTAAAAATGTATGATTACATTCAACAGCACTCAAATTCTAAATGTATTTGGTGAGTTTGAAAATGGTGTCATTTCTTAAAATATATGATTTTAAATTTTTGCCTCTAACATATTATATGCAAATACTTGATATGGAATGTGGGAAGGAACCATAGCATATTGAAATCACAAAGGCAAAAAACCTGTCGACATTTGCTAAGCATTTGTCACATGCGCAAATCGCTTCATGTCTGCGGTGTGTGCATGCGTCATAGTGTACCACTTACTCGTTCCATGCATTCAAAATGTGCACGCCAACAATCGGATGCTCAAGAATTTTGCTCCACTAATCCTTCAATATGGTACTTAATCACGCTCACCTTGGGCGGAAAGTGGCTCTTCACCGCGACAATCGTCTCCCTCTTCAGCCACTGAAAGTGCAGCTCTTTCCGCACTCTTCATTACTTCCATGATCGCCGCATCTAGTGCGTGCTTCGATTGCTCTTAACGGACGTCTGCGTGCGCCGGCTCTCCTCCGGCTAGTGGTACACATGTGAGCATGATGGAGTCCGCCGGTCAAACACGGCTAGCAGCTGGCATTCGTATTCCTGACCGACGGAGTCAGCAGGACGATCAAGGGACATGGGCGCACCAAGGTGGATTTGATGTAGTGTTTGAACCACCTACAGGAGCTCATGAGATGATTCTGAAGTCGGAGCTCTCCTGCGAGCTAATCTGACTGTTGAAGGAATAATATATTCCAAGTAATCTACGAAGATCACAATATGAAGAAGGGTATGGAAGGACAATGTCCAATGATATAATTCCAAGGGATCGTACGATAGGACATTGTGTCACAAAGCACCAAAGCACTTAACCCAATTAAGGGCAAGTCTGCTTTTGTGACCTGCACAAAT